ACCTGGTATCCCCAATTGCTTTTCTCTTGAGGTTGGCTTAACTTTATTTATCTTCTGTCTTGGGTCACTGCCCCTGAGGTGCTTCAAAAGCAAAGCCCAAAAGACCCAAAACAAAGAAAGCTAAACCAGATTCAAGGAAAAAATGACCTGCACTCTGGGTTCACTTTTACAAAGGCAAAAAGTCACTTCGAGTTCCATAGAATGGTTTTAAATCGGCCTAGATTCATTGTGTCATTTGCACAAAGTGATCTCAACAGGTCTGAGACCCCAAGTTTCTTGGGTGTAGATATAGAGTGAGACTTAGGATGGGAAACTGTCAGCAAGCTAAATGTGATGACACAGATGAATTCTTCAGTGATTCAACTATTTGAGCATATAAATGGGACCACCCATGCAACCATTTCTTTCCGTAAGCTGAATCTTTTTGTTTGGTGGACACACACAGGGAACGCTGAAGAAGTGAAACTTTTACAACTCACTTACAAATATTGGCATAAATCCACTTTATGTTATCAGATTAGTTATGAAGGGTATTTTTGAATCCTTGGTGAAAAAAAAGTTAGGATACTAATTTTAGGTAATCTTATAAATCATGATGAGATAGAACTGAGGCACATTATTTTGCTGTTCATTTTTATATGATCCATACTTTGCTTACTTCCCAAAAGGATTTAAGGTGGATTACTTTACTTGACTATTGGAACAAACCCATTTATAGAACTTAATACCAATTTTCATTATAATATGCCTAACTTTATCCTTTAATAAGTAATTGTAAAATTGCTCTTGGATAATCTAGGGAAGATTTTTGTTTTTGTTCATATTTGATCTACATCTTTGAATTTTAGGTATATATGTTAAATAATAAATTCACCTGTTGAGACTATGTCTTACTGTTTATTTAAAAGACTGAGAGAGATTTGGTGTGATTAATAGTAAATGTATTGTTTATGTATTGCCATCTTAAGGAAGCAAAACTTGAGATAGAGAAATGAGGTTTTCCATAATAAGGTTTTACTATTAAGGACATAGTGCATCCCATGAAACCTGACCGAATGTGAGAGGCAGATCCCAAGGCACTGGCTGTTTGTGTGGAGTGAAGGTGAGTGTCAGTGGTTGTACCTGTCATCACTCCAGTTTCCTCATCCCTTCCTGTCGCACTCTGGCTCCAGAGCAGTCATGTTCTTTTTAAACCATCCCAAAGATCAGGGATCATGCATCTTAGTTAAAGCAGGGATGGGTAGCAGCCTACAGAAATGGGTTCAGTCCATCACGCGGCCTGGTATAGTGTTTGTTCCATAACATTCTCGTTTTGTGTTACTTCTTTCACTTCAGTTTAAAATTTTTTAAAATGAAAAAGGACCTTATAATTATGGATAAGGGATACCAGAAGACCATTCAGAAATATTAGCGTTTCTTTCTCTAGGGAGAACATTTAACGCATTCAACATTAGACCCAGTGCTTTCTTGTGAGGGAATCTGGCTTTACCAATGCTCCAGTCAAATCCTGGGAGAGATGGGGGAAGTCAGTTGACTGCGTTCACTGGCCCTCGTTTGCCTGCAGGCCAACATTGGCCTTTTTCAGAGAGCTGTCAGCATAGCCAAAGGGATCTGGAGGGTGCTCATTTTTGATACTCATGAAGCCTAAGAAAAATGCCTAAGTAAACTTGGAATAGTGGTCTGGCATCATCAATCAGCCAGTTATTTCTTGAATATCTACTGAGTAGTTACACTCTGTTGGACACATTTTATGTGTTTTCCTGCCTGTTTTGTGAAGTTAGTTTCTATTTACTTATTGATGCAGTATGGTGCATTTGAAAAATCCTTACACAAATGAAAATGAGAAATCAGAATATGAGATCGGCATGCTTGCTGGCCCCATATCTCCTCCACCCACGTCCATGTATACTTTAGGACATAGACACTGAAATGGTGCTCAAGTCTACAGCCACTGGATTCATGGGCTGAGAACAATGAGCAAGCAGTCACTGGCTCCTACATAAATCAGTAGTTTCTGTCTTACTTAATATTAAATTGATAGTAGCTTCCTTATATGTTATAGTAGTTTAAAATACTAGGGTTTTGTGTGAATAGTTTTTTAAGATAATTTCGTCATGTTAACATAAAAATATTACTTGTTTCCTTGTTAACTGTCTGCCTCTCCACCTTTTCCACGTATAATGTAAACTCTTTGAGGTCAGGGACTTTGTCTTGTTCAATACTATATCCTGGTGCCTAATACAGATGCTACTTCGCTGCCTCCTTGTAGGTGAGCCGTCAATATTTGTTGAATGAATAAATGAATGTTATCTAGGTGCTTAGCCCTTTTATCCACATTGGCAATGCATTCCATAGCTATCTTCAAGTTAACTCTGCACTATATGTAGTTCTATAAAGTATTAGTGTAAAATTGAAAGCATGTCAATGAGATTTGTATGCATGTGGGCAAGTAGGTTAAATTTTGTGGTCCTGTAATGTCTAGAGGTAAGAGATTTGCATAGGATTGTCTGGCCATATGTGAAAATTGTAAACATAATATTTCTTTATCTAGGAAAGTCTGTGTTGGTGACGTAGAAGAACCAGTTCTATATTCACAGTTGGAGTTGGTGTAGGTTTTTAATTAATTAAGTGGGCTCCTCCTTTCCCACCTGGGGGTAGATCTGCACAAGGAAAAACAGACTTTTGTTAAGGCCTCTTCCTCTTGCAAATCCCAAAGGTCATGTTGCTAATGCCTTTTGGAAAGAAAAGGAGATTACAGCCAGTATACAGTTATTAAGTGTTACTCTCTGCTGACTGTGCGCATGCCCACACACACTTGTGCAAACACATACCTAACCTGAAGAGGAATCCTTCAAAATGAGGCTTTTGTTAACGACTCTGTGAGGAGTAGTCATTATCGAAATTTAATATATAAATATGCAAATCTTATTTCTAACTCTAGAATTAATACATGTCCATTGTGAAATATTATGAAAATAAAGAAGATAATACATTGCCCATAAGCCCATCACACAAATAACAGCCATTCAGAACATTTTCTCAAATTTTCTTCCAGTCTTTTTTGATGGGTTTTTATGTAATTTCAGTAGCAACAGTTATTATAAGCATCTTCCTAAGCTATTTAAAATTCTGTGTAGATCAATTTTAATAACAGCATAATAGTCTTGTAGATATATCTTTCTATTTAATCATTATCTTAATATTGAGATTTAGGCTATTTTCAGGGTTTTTTTTCTCTTCAGTTTTTTGATAACACAAATAACATTTTTGAGATTAATATCTTTGCTCATACTTTTTTTGTCCGTCTTCATTATTGTTTCCTGGAGTTAGAATCCTATAAGTATGATTACTGAGTCAAAGAGAATGACCATTTTTATAAGGTTCTTAAACATATAACAAAATCACATTGCAGAGAAGTGACACAAATTTACATTTTCACCATGGGAGAATATAAAAGTAACTTTTCCTCCGTGTGAAAGGAAGGAAAAAAAGTACTTGCTGCAACAGTCGAAAATTACACAGAACTTTAAATAAGTTCCCTTTTTTTTTTAATATAGTATATTCTTTTAACTTTGTGTCAATGTAGTTTCTGTACCAATGTTTTAAATTTTGGTATGGCCTAGAACAGCCGTGGGCAAACTACGGTCTGCGGGCCCGGCCCGTTTGAAATGAATAAAACTAAAAAAAAAAAAAGACCGTACCCTTTTATGTAATGATGTTTACTTTGAATTTATATTAGTTCACACAAACACTCCACCCATGCTTTTGTTCCGGCCCTCCGGTCCAGTTTAAGAACCCATTGTGGCCCTCGAGTCAAAAAGTTTGCCCACCCCTGGCCTAGAATGTTGTCTGAAAAAAAAAATAGAGTGGCTTTTAATATTGGTACTTAATATTTTCATGATAGAATTTTCCTCCTTTTACAAGAAATTCTCTCAATAGCTGTTTGTTGGATGGGAAAAGTCAAACAAGTCCATTATCTTCCAAGGGAAGAGCTAGTTTCTTGTAACCTTTCTTTAGGTTTGAACCACCCCAGAAGTTTTATTCCTCTCACATTTAGTGACTCGAATAGCGTATGAGTAAATGTAAATGCTTCATTCATTTGAAAGCAAAAGCAGTATACTTCTTAGTTAAAACAAAAAAGAAGGAATAATATAAAAACTGAAGGAAGGTAGTAAGTAAAGCATTTAGCTTTCTGAAACAATTAAAATGGGGATAGGAAGTTGGTTTTAAATGGCTTAAAGGGGATTAGGGTTTTAAAGTTGGATAAGGAGTTTGGTGCTTTGGTTTAGGCATGGCATTGCTTTTAAAAGATTACTTCCATATTTGACAACAGTTCTAACTGGAGATTATAAAGCAAATAGTCGATTTTAAAACATTACAGAAAACAAGAGGGTTTCTTTTTTGTTGTTGTTTGTTTATACAAAATGATTGCCTAGAGTTAACATGCTGAGTCCTGAAGCCCTCCTTTCATAAGACTACTGAGGATCTATCACCAGGGAGAATCCAGCAGAGGTTGTTTAATGCACTTAATTGAGATTATCCGAGCTTTTGGTTTAAATTACTTTGGGAAAATCTAGATGCAAATGGCTTCTTAGAAAGGTAAACATACTTAACCTTTAAGAGAAAAGGTTAAATTTAAGTTCTTTAACATTCTTCAGTTAGTAGCACTAACCCTTATTAAATTTGAGTGTGAACTGAATAATATGTAAAGTTTAAATCTCTATACCTAATATAGTTAATATTAACTGTTTTCATTTTATACTTATTTGAAAATGCAATCAAGTATTTTATTAGAAAAGCAACCCCTGACAATTTTAATGATTTCAAAAGTAAAAAGATAGTAAATACTATTTTTATTATAAAGTGCAGTTAATTAAGTTTCAAAAAGGAATTTCCTTATTCTGTTTTATCTAAGAAGCAGGTCATGTTACAGTGGATCTAGAGTGGCATATATAGGTAAGTAGCTAAAAGTTGGTTTAACATTTCCCCATTTTTCTCAGCTCCTTGATCTGTTTATGGTTTGGGATTGGTCCACTTACCTAGCTGATTATGGACAGCCAGCTTCTAAGTACCTCCGGGTGAATCCAAACACAGCCCTTACTCTTTTGGAGAAGTGAGTATATTCTGAAAACTTTTTTACATAATATTTTAGCATTTTGTGATTCAGTGATTAAAGAACTAGAGATTTTCATCAAAAGAGAAATGTCTAAAGGGAGCTTAAAGGCTCAGTCCATTTTAATAACCAAAACATAAGCCTCTTTTTTGCCCTTCAGTGTTGGTGTATGAGATTGCTATTTATGTTAATAGGAACAAAACATTTTTCCTACTGTACTCTCAGTAGCAGGCTTCATTGGCCTTAGAAATGTGTTTACTTGAGACAAGGGGGAACTGGAACTATATTTTATGCTGTAACATAGGAAAGAAGTTATTTTGTAAAATGTGGCTCAGAATTGGAATGGCTGCCACCAGCGAGTGCTATCAAACCCCACTGTTATGGGCCCGGGTTCTTTGTAGCAAAGAAGCATGTGATTTAGAAAATAATACAGTAAAAACTGGAGTACCAGGAAACTTACTGGTGTATCTTGTCCATTTAAAAATAATACAAGTGTAGGTGTTGGTTTCTGTCAAATTATGTGGCAGATTATTTTTTACTCAATCATATTTCAAGTATCACTATTAAAAATTTTAATTGTTGAATTAAAAGTGTATATTATTTCCCCACATTTCAAAATGTCTGTGGTGTATTTTACTTGGGAAGAAAAAGAACTGTTTAAAATACATGTAAATTTATTTTACAATACCATGAAACACCACTGAGACAAAAAAAAAAAATTGCTGCTTTAAATTTTCTAATGTTATTTTTCCTTTTACCTTGTCTTGCTATGAATATAATTTGCAGTTAATAGAGGGTATGTATTTTAGCATACTTATGGAATGATATTAGAAAATAGTATAATATTAGAAAATAATATACTTTAGATTCATATACTAATGCAAAAATACCCCTTTAAAGAGAATGTAGAATAAAGCTGCTAATTTTTTTGTGTGGTACCTATTTCCCTAATTCTATTAGTACTTATTTTCTTTGAAATATATTTTTCAAGCATAGGCTTAATGTTAGATAATTCAGAGCACCCCAAGATTCTTTACTTGTGACAGCATAAGTTATAATTTCTTTTACTAAGCTTCTTCATTCACATATGTTCCTAGGATGAAGGATACTAGCAAAAAGAACAATATATTTGCTCAGTTCAGGAAGAATGATCGAGACAAACAGAAGTTGATAGAGACAGTCATGAAACAGCTGCGAAGTTTGGTGAATGGTATGTCCCAGCACACATAGACTTCACGTCCCATGCACTCAGTGACACCAAATTCGTGACTGAATAGTTATCTTTATGGTAGCGGCAGTTTGCAGAATTAAAAAACACAGAGGAAAGATGCTGATGAGAGCTGAAATGAGAGACAGTAATAAATATCATTTGTATGGATTTTTAAATAATTGAATACTATTTTGTATATGGAAAATGTGACATTAATTTTTCACTTTTAAAAATATATGTAAATCAGGTCAAAAATTGTATATGAAACTGATTGTAAATACATTAGAAAAACTTATGCCTATACATATCTTTTTTTATTCAGACTTGAATGATGGTTTTGTTTTTTCATCAGTATCTTGGTTTTGGAATGCAATCATGTCCGATATGGGAATATTTCACTGTCATTTTCTGACTTTTAGCTTTTACTTTCACCTAAATATGATTTAAGTAGACAAAAATTTTCTAATTCTGCTGACTCTGAAGGGGAAATAGGTAAATCTTTAAAGGTCCCTGAAATCAACCTTGATTTAACTCCATAAAAATGTGAATTATTTGTTCTCTTTGGGTGGTTTAATGTAACCATTCTGAATATGAAGACAAGTGTTAGATTTTCTAAGGATGCAATGTTTTTGTTGGGCAGGGGTAATATTTCTAACTATATTGTTTGTAGCTGACCCTATTCTAGAATTTATTTGGTTTGGGTCAAGTTAAAAGAGAGGACAGGAAGTAAGTGGGGTAACCACTTCAGGTGCAGCTTGTGCCACAGTAGCTATGTTCCTGCACAGGAGGTACCACGGGGGTCAGGTTACTTCCTTCAGATAGCATGTCCCCCTACCGTACCCTCACTCGGAAACAAGCCAAACCAAATGAACTCTGGAAAACCTAGAACAATGTACATTTTCCTTTGTGTAAATTACTGCAGTCCAAATGGAAACAGCAGTCTGATCCTTATGTTCTCTTCATTGTATTTATGCTGAATGCTCCTTTTGCATTTTCAGGATTTATGCCTGTAAGAAACTTCTACTTGACTCTGTAAAATAAGTGTAAAAAATTATATGTACATTTCTTGATTTTGTGATGAAATATAAAAGAGGTTGAGCAAGTTCTTGAAAATAAGCTGCTCTAGCATCTATTCAGAGCTTCCTGCTTTAAAACAACTGCTTCATTTAGAAAGGGTATTATTCCCTAGTTATTGAAATGGGGTGTCACTAAAACAAAGAAAATAAACGTTCTTTTGACCATTTCTTATCCAAAGATTTTTCACACTTTTAAAACTTTATATGGAAAACATGGTAATTCTTAGAAGTTGCTAAAGGAGGGTGAACAGCTAGCTAGCTCTCTTGGAAGACTGTGGAATGTGGTTGTCGCTGGTGTGCCTTACCCAGCCCTCCAGGGCATCGGCTTGGGCGAGGTGTCCCAAATTCGGAGAGCAGCTGCCTTGCACAGCCGGAATGGGCTTGAGGAGTTCACCCCACTCTTCTCAGTAACACAGGAACTCTGCGCTTTACCTCCCCACCCTCTGGTTGCTGTAGGGACAGGGACGTGCGCGCCTGTCCTTGGGGCATTTGGAGCCCTGTGATGGAAAGCAAAAAGCAACTATGTAGACTGGGGCGGGGAGGGGGGGGGGCTCCGAAGGGGAAGGGGATGGTGAATGTGGTCCCTGAGATCCGAAAGGAGCCCTGGGATAGCTGCTTCTCTTTGGCTTCGGGCAACAATGACGCAACCATCGTTTTTTTTTTTAATCCTCACCCGAAAATATTTTTTCCTTTGATTTTTAGAGAGTGGAAGGGGGAGAGAGAGAGAGAAAGAGAAACATCGATGTGAAACAGACACATCGACTGGTTGCCTCCCACACGCCCCCGGCCTGGCCGGGGGTCGAACCTAAAACCCTGGTCCGTGCCCTTGACCGGGAATCTAACCTGAGACCCTTGGGTGCGCGGGCATGGGCTCTAACCACCTAGAAACCCGACCATCTTTTGAAGGATTCCTGAAGTGATAGATCAAAGACCAGGAAGGAGTGGGGATATCGGAGAATCTCGACCCCGGCTATCTTCTTCGTAGGCGCGTACGAAGCCTAGGTTGACGTCGAAGTCCGCAATTTCCCGAAAGGGAAACAGCAAATGGGAGAAATCCCAGACCTCAGCTTTGAGCACTGGGCGGGGAAAGGGCACTTAGAAGCTGGAGGGTGCGGACCCCAGAGAGAGAGCGCGCGGTAGCCCAGTGCGCGCGGTTTGCCCACCGCCGAGCTCCCAAGTTCTGGCTCGAACCCGAAGACCCCGAAGACCCCTCCCGAGTATTTCGGCCGGTCCCTCCGTGGTGCCGCTGCGGCTGCCACGCCCTGCTCCTTGCCCCCAGCGAGCCCGCCGCAGCCCACCGCCTCCAATCAGTACTCTGCACAGAGCGCTTTAAATATGCATGGGCGCGTCACGTTGTGTGTTTCTGCATCAGTCGGTAGGGAGGGAGCCAGTGTCTATATAAATGAGCCCGGGATGGGCCGAGAAGAGTTAACAGACTGGGGGAGGGAGGGTGGAGCGGGGGTCTACAGCCCTGGTGATTGAAGCCCAGGTAGGCAACACCGGTAAGTTGCTCCCCTCTTTGACCGCCGTTGCTGCTTCTATCAGAGGAGGGAGTGCTGGCCCCGGGAGGAGGTGGGAGGTGCCCGCAGATGCTAGGCGTGAGCATCCCAAGAGGAAAAGTCCTGAGTGTGCGCGCCTTGGGGAAAGCACATTCCCTAAGGTGTGTGCTCACTGCCGCCTTACACTGCCCGTCTGCTTTGAGAGCTAAATCCTTGTCCGAGGTTATAGCTCTCGGTCTTGGCCCCCAAGCGACAGGACCTTTCCGGACTGAACTGGTGAGCACTGCGCGCTGCCTGCTCCCCAGCTCTTGCGCCCTGAGCTCAGAGCGGCCTGGCACCCTGCATGCTCGCCATGTTCCCCTGCGGTCTGAGCTGCCTGTCTGTGCTGGGGGCGGCTGGCACCGCTCTCCTGTGCGCCGGCCTCCTGCTCAGCCTGGCCCAGCACCTCTGGACCCTCCGCTGGATGCTGAGCCGGGACCGGGCCTCCGCTCTGCCCCTGCCCAAGGGCTCTATGGGCTGGCCCTTCTTCGGGGAGACGCTGCACTGGTTAGTTCAGGTGAGCAGTTGGCGTTCCCCACACCCCGATATGGCCCCTTCTCCCCTGGCTCCCACTGGACCCTCCTAGGATTCGTAGCCTGTCCTTCCCGTTGCCCACGGAGCATACATTGTCCTCGCCTTCGTCCAGCTGCTCCCTCGAAAGGACTGCCATCACGCTACTTACACTCGTGGGGTGAACAGAGGGGTTCTAGGAAGGAGCCTGAGGAGCATGCCATCTATGAACTGCAAGCATAGAATCAGGAGTCAGGGGGCATCTCGGCTGTGAGCCCTTTGGCTTTCACCGTCCGCATTCTAAGTTCTTTCCTCATTTCACCAATGGGAGCAGGGGCATCTAAACTCCTGTAGGGTAGTCACGAGACCCATTTGAGACTTTTTAGAAAGTAATGCACCAGCCTGGAGCAGGGATTTGTTACTCAGGGGCGGTTGGGGAGTCTGGGCCAGAACCCCAGCGGTCCCAGCCCTCTTCGCTGCTCCTGCTGCAGGGCTCGCGCTTCCACAGCTCCCGCCGGGAGCGCTACGGGACAGTGTTCAAGACACACCTGCTGGGCAGGCCGGTGATCCGCGTGAGCGGCGCCGAGAATGTGCGCACAATACTGCTGGGCGAACACCGCCTTGTGCGCAGCCAGTGGCCACAGAGCGCGCACATCCTGCTGGGCTCGCACACACTGCTCGGCGCGGTTGGCGAGCCACACCGGCAGCGGCGCAAGGTGAGCCAAAACCAGAGAAGGGGCCGTCGGGACCTCAGGCCCGCGGTTCCTCGGGCACCTGTTGTGGGGCGAGGCCCGGACTAATTGTTAGGGGTACACTACAAACCTGGCTGGAACCCCTGGCCAACCAGGGGGTGGCCTCGGACCAGTTCCTTACCTTCTCCGACTTCGGTTTTTAAGGCCAGGACTGGGACTTAAAGGTCCTTTCATCTCCGATCTTCTGTAACTGAGATACCAGAAGCGCTGGAAACAGCCTTGGAGAGGAGTTAGGGACGACTTCCTCGAGGGGGTGGCAGCTGGAGGGAGCCTGGATGCATGCGGGGGGCGGAGAGGGGGCGGACTGTACATCAGAAAAGAACTAGAGGGAATGGCGAGAGCAAGAGCCATCACGTGTAGGTCCGGGCCACTTAGAAGAGAAAGGTCCCCAAATTAGCCTTTTGGCTTCTCTGCAATTGCCGAGCAGAGGAAGGAGGCCGGACCGCGGCCAGGGCTCAGCGCTCGCGCTCCCTACAGGTACTGGCTCGAGTATTCAGCCGCGCGGCGCTGGAGCGCTACGTGCCACGCCTGCAGGGGGCGCTGCGGCGCGAGGTGCGCTCCTGGTGCGCAGCCCGCCGGCCGGTGGCAGTCTACGATGCTGCCAAAGCCCTAACCTTCCGCATGGCCGCGCGCATCCTCTTGGGGCTGCGGCTGGACGAGGCGCAATGCGCGGAGCTGTCCCGAACCTTCGAGCAGTTTGTGGAGAACCTCTTCTCACTGCCCTTGGACGTGCCCTTCAGCGGCCTGCGCAAGGTACTGCCACCCGCCCCCGACCTTCCTCTTGAGGCTCCCTAGACGCCCCCGCAGGTCACTTCTGTTGAACGACAGAGGCACCGTGCGCCCGGGAAAGGGAGGCAGCGTGTTGTGGTGGTGCCCTCGGTCTGCCCTGACTCGCTGTGTGACTCGCGGCGGGCCACACACCCTCTCTGAGCCATGCCAGATGGGACGTGTTCCAGTCCCAGCAGCCGCGGGGCCTCCCTTTGGATACTCGGTGGCAGGCGCCGGGCCAGTCGGCCCAGCCCCTCCCCAGAGCGGCGCCTCCTGGCCGGGCCTCCAGCCCCCTTTAGAAGCCCGGACGGCTGCGGAACGGATGGGCCGCAGACACGCCCCTGGCCCAGCTCGGCGCCAGCCCGGGTTGGAGAGGGGTGGGTGCCGGCTCCCCGCCCGCGGCCCCGGGCCGCTAGTTTCCGGATTAGAGAACCGCGGCCTCTTCCGACTTCAGAGCGTAGGGCCAGGCCCAGGGAGCAGCTAGGAAGCCCCGTCCCGCCTTTCCCTTCGCACTGAGCTGGGGTTTCTCCTGTGTCAATGCAGCGGTTTTCAGTCACCTGAATAAAAATAATAGTTATGTATAAAGGGGCATTATACTGGCTGATCACCTTGGATACATTTCCTGATTTAATCCTCTCAACCTGCAAAGTGTTACTCACGTTTTGTTGATGAAGAAATTGAAGCTCAGACAGGTTAAATAATTTACCCAAGATCACACAGCTAGAGAGGCAGGATTTGAACCTGATCTAGTCTAACTACAAAACTCAGGCGCTCAAGTGCTTTTGCTGTTCTTGCTCCCTGAACTCTGAAGGGACACCCTGGCCCTCTTGCCTATCTCCTTACAGAGGCTAATGCTTAAAACTGCCATCGTGTCCTCTAAGCAAGAGCTTTTCTGAGTGCATCAAGGTGTCTGTCCCTTGCTCTCTGCACTGGTACCCACTGTCCCTACTCATGCAGGGGAAAGGCAATGGGCTGGTTCCACCTCCACACCTTTGTGCCAGGAATGGGCACTGACCACTGTGCGACTCTAGGCAATTGCTTGACCCCTCTGAACCTCGGCATCCTCCCTTAAGGACCAAAGAAACTGTTTGCCTACCTCAAAGGGAGCTGTGATAAACAAGAGAGAATGATGTATTGGAAAAGTGAACAAACTTTGAGTATTTATTAAGCACCTTCTATGTGCCAGGCATGAAACTAAGCTAGGACACTTAACGTTAGGAACTCAGCAGAGCAGCCCTGGGAAGATTTGGGGGCGGGGAGGTGCCCAGGCCTGGCCCCCTCAACCTTCCTGCCCCACCTCCCTCTCTCCCTGCCCATCAGGGCATCCGGGCAAGGGACCAGCTACATCGGCACCTGGAGGAGGCCATTGCGGAGAAGCTCCATGAAGACATGGCTGGGGAGCCAGGTGATGCCCTGGCCATGATTATCCACAGCACTAGGGAGCTGGGCCATGAGCTCTCAGTGCAGGAGCTGAAGGTAGGTCGGGCGCGGTCTCTGCTCCCCTCTTGCAGTCCTAGTGGGTGTGTCTCAACTTCAAGCCTCAATCACTCTTCAGGGTGAAGGGGAAAAGACCAGGCTTCCAGCCATGGCTCAGCCCTTCCCACTCTCAGTAGGAGCCTTGAAGGCTTGAGTCCTAGGCTCTTCTGGACACAAACAGCTCCTCTTCCCTCCCCGTTCTCTGTCACTCCCTACCTTTACCTTCGCTGTCCTCCTGACCATGAAACCCTCTTCACTCCTTTTCTCTACAAATCCTAAGGGCTCAGGGTCAAACTCCACATCCTCCTGGAAGCTCCCTTCTTCCCAAAAACCAATACTCTCTTCCCATAAGGCACCTTGGCACCTGACACTACTACCTGTTTTGTATGTCCACTGTGTGAATTGGATGTACCCATACAGCGCATGCGGCGGAGGTGGGGGAATGGCCCCCAGGACATACTTGACAGCCCCCCACAAAGAGTGGAGAGGTCGGGGAGCAGGAGACAGTTAGAAATGGAAACACCTCAGCCCTTCTGAAAGCAACTCCCATCCTTTCTCTGGGGCTCAATTGCCCCTCTCCTCCAGCCTCAGAGTGTGGCCCAGCCTTAAGTTTCTTCTCTGAAAGTGGGGCTGATAATCCCCACCCTGACTCCTGTGCGGCTGTGAAGTCTGGAAGAGCCAGGGTGTCAGAAGTAGATGAGCAGTGGGCCCTGAGTCCTGGGGGAGCCTAAGGGTAGGGCCAGTTCTGGGCAGTGAAGGGGCGGGGAGAGCGTGTGGAAAGGAGTGATGGTCCCACTGCCGTGACAGGGATGGGGAGGAGGTGTCTCAGCTTCTCTGGAAGAAACCCGCTGCCTCTGCAGGATCTTCCGTTCTGGTCTGGGATTAGGGGCAGGTGAGCCGGGCTAGGCCGGACCAGGGAAGAGCTTGGGGCTGCAAGGTCTCTGTCCTGGCTCTCCATCTTGTTCAGGGCAGACAGTGAGCCGTGGATGGAGTCATTCATTCCACAAATACGATGTACCTCGTCGGTGTCAGGCTTTTGCTGGGACAGGGGACTTAGCAGTGATCAAAGCACAGCCCTGGCCCTTGAGGTGCAGGAGGGGTGGAGTCCACCTTCATCTTGTGATCACACAAATCAGTGTATCAGCACACTGTGAGTGCTGCCAGGAAGGAAGACAGGGAGCTGGGAGGGCAAGGCAGGCAGCGAGGGCTAGGCCTGGAGGGTGAAACCACAGGCCCCTCCTGTTTTCCTGGGCAGTGCAGACCGGGAGGAGATGTAGTCCCTCCCCGGACCGCTCCACTAAGCGGGAGGAAGACACCTCCAGGCCAGCTTTGGCGCGAGGCTGGCGCTGCTACTGCAGGCGCCTCCCCCAGTTCCACGGCGGCCCTCTCAGGAGCCCCAGCTGGGCCGCAGGCAGCACCCACACGGCTAAGAGCACTGGGCTCCGAGTCCTACTACTGAGGCTTCCGGCTGCAGGGACCGGTCCAACCCGGGAAGACAGACGAGGGCAGCAATTGGGCCTCCTCGCAGGACGTGGGGGAGGGGATCGAAGGGGAGAATGGGACGAGCTAATATACCTAAAGCACTAAGAACAGCGCACGGAATCAGTTCCTGGCATTATCTCTGGGAACCTCCAAGGCAAGTGGCTAGATCCTGGCTTTGCCAGTTGCTACTGCGGCTGGCCCAAGCGGCAGACGGGATCGACTCCCGGACCCTCGCACGTAGCTGCCACAGGGGCACATCCCAGCTCCCTGGCCTTTGTGCAAAGGTCAGTTTGGGCCCTTCACACCTCATCCGCCGCGAGGCCAGGGCGGGGCCCGCTGATGGAGACTCAGCGCCGCCGGGCTGTCTTGCAGGAGTCGGCTGTGGAGCTCCTCTTCGCCGCCTTCTTCACCACCGCCAGCGCCAGCACATCTCTGGTCCTGCTGTTGCTGCAGCACCCGGCGGCCATCACCAAGATCCGGCAGGAGCTGGAGGCCCAGGGGCTGGGGCGGGCGTGCAGCTGCGGGCCGGGGGCCGCAGGGGATGGCGCGGGGCACTGGTCAGACTGTGGCTGCGCGCCAGACCTCAGCCTCGCCGCGCTGGGCGGTCTGCCCTATGTCGACTGCGTGGTCAAGGAGGTGCTGCGCCTCCTGCCGCCGGTGTCCGGGGGCTACCGCACCGCACTGCGCACCTTCGAGCTTGACGTAAGTGCGCCCACACCTCCCCCTGCTCCGCCCCCTGCCGCTTCGGTGCTGGGGCGGGTGGGGGGTGGGGGTGGGGTGGGGTGGGGAGATTAGGCCGGCTAGGTCTACCCTTCTCCTCTCAGACCTGCCACTCTGCTACCTGTGAAGTGGGCTGAGTTCTGTTCCATTTCCCCAGATCCACGTTTGAGGGGTGCAAGCCTAGTGCCTGGCGAGGCCACAGATTAGGGACCACATATACTCTGCTTTTGGCAGCTGTATGGGTCCGTCAACTAAATTAGAGCCAAGTTTGACAATAAAAATCCCCCCCCCCCCCCCCCCGGCTCAGCACCCGCTCCCTTCCCCCCTTAGCCAGTGGACCTGGGTGGAGAACAAAGAGACCCCCCCCTCAACACACAATGTCCCACACCCCACCCCACAATGTCCCCTACCTCACCCCTCTGACTCCCTCACAAGATTAAGGAACCATCATTGTTACCTGTCCAGGGCTCTGCTAAGGCCAGATTCTGGAAGAACAGGACAATGGAAATGTGGGTTGGCATCTCCTAATGGTCTGAGCAGGCTGGCTTGGGCTGGGCAAGAAGTTTAAGGTCTAGGCCTGGCTCCATCTCGGCAAGACCTTGGGCACTTTCCACCTCACTCCAGGCTTCCGGTTACTCTCTGGAGGGAAGCTGTCTCGATCGCTTCCTGCTCCTACACCCCAGGTGGTCAGGGCTGTGCTGCATAGTGGCAGCATCCAGAAGTGGAGCCCTACCTGGCCAAACAGGGTGTTTGCGGGATCCAGCTGTGGCTGCCGTCCTCCCTTTCCCCAGCTCAGTCCCCAGAGGCTGCAGGCAGAATGGGCACCTCCTCTCCTGACCCTTACTTTAAACTGCAGACATCCCTGGTCATTGCATACCAGGAATCCAGGCACCATGGGGACTGGGATTCTGCCCTGGAGGAGATTATCATGGAGAGAAAGGGGGCCGCCCCGACAGACACCTCATCCCAAATGTGGCGTGAGGAAGAGGGTGATCTTTAGTCCTGGATGACAGCAAAACATTTTGGAGGGTTGGGATTTGAGCTGGAGAAGTGAAGGGTTAGGATGGGGACAGCACACCACAGAGAGAGGACAGCACCCCCGCTCCCCCCACAAAGGTGAGTGGATTAGAAGGATCTTGGATGCTGCATCTTGGAACTCAGACTTCATTCTGCAGGTGTCGGGGTGCCCTACAATACCACAGGGAAACGGGGAGAGGAACACAGGCCCACCAGGGTGAGCAGCGCTCAGGGGTCTTAGCCATCCCCCAGTCTACAGGGCCCAGGGAGGGGAAAGAGAGAGCTCCTCCACGATTTTAAGATTTTCTCCCTGCCTGTCTGAGCGCCTCCTAGTAGACACCTAGAGCCTGTTCAGGCGAGGGAAGCAGGATAGTCAGACACAGGATGCTAGAAAGAGATATCAAAGAGCAGGACACTTGTAAAAGCCAGAGGTGCACAGAGGGACCATGAAAGCTGTTTCCCACATTTTAAGGGCTCTCCAGTTTAATTCTCATGTGCACCTTTTAAAGTGTAACTACCAGGCCTGGACATTATCACTGTGCAGCTGATGGATGGAAGGACAGGGAGGCAGTTTTTAGTTCAGTGCAAGGAAGAGCATTACAATTGAGCTGATCATAGAGATCATAGAGGTCCCTGTCATTGCGTTCCAGCCCAGGCAGCTGGTAGGTACAGGACTAGAATTTAGGTTTCCTGATCTAATGTCAGAAGAAAAAAGAAAAACAAAAACAAAACATTGAAACATAACACTTTTACATAACATCACTTTTACTGACCACGAACATATATGCCAGACCCGTTTATTTTATCCTCACAACAAAATGGGCATTTTTGTTCTTATTTTACAATTAAGAAATTGAGACTCAGAGAGATTGAAAAGCTAGCCCAAGCTCACAGCTCACCAGAGAAGGACCTGCGATTGGAACACAGAGGGGTCTCCTAGCTTCTGGGCTAGCACCAAGTTCCTGCTAGTTTTGAGAATTCTGTGTGATGCACCGGGGTGGAGGGTCGGTTCAGGCCCAGTTCCCTGGTGCCTCATGGTCAGGCAGGTCTCCTCATCTCCCCGTAGGGCTACCAGATCCCCAAGGGCTGGAGCGTGATGTATAGCATCCGGGACACGCACGAGACGGCCGCGGTGTACAGCAGCCCGCCCGAGGGGTTTGATCCCGAGCGCTTCGGTGCCTCGGGCGAGGAGGCGCGGGGCGCATCCGGCCGCTTCCATTACATCCCTTTCGGCGGCGGTGCGCGCAGCTGCCTCGGTCAGGAGCTGGCGCAGGCGGTGCTCCAGCTGCTCGCGGTGGAGCTGGTGCGCACGGCGCGCTGGGAACTGGCCACGCCTGCCTTCCCAGCCATGCAGACCGTGCCCATCGTGCACCCGGTGGACGGGCTGCGCCTCTTTTTCCACCCGCTCGCGCATTCCGCAGCGCGAGATGGGCTCTGCCTCTGATCCGCTGCGCTGTGGGACATGGTCAGTGGCTTGGCGACACCCATCTGCACTTCTCCGGTGCCAGGTCGTGCGCCCTTTATACTCATTCAACAAACGGCCACCGAATGAGGCTCTGTGCGGGACTCTGAGGGAGAGCGAGCGCGAGCCACCGCCACAGCCCCGGAGAAGGCCCAGGCCGGTGAGGCGGCGCCTCTTGCGCGCTCAGCGCCCTTAGGAAGGAACGGTCGGGGGCCACGCTCCTTAAGCCCTTCCCAGGACCCCGAAGCAGGGATGGAAGGAACGGATTTCCATTGGAGCTGCGCGGTCTCACCTTTCTGTGCCACCCCTGGGAGGGTGATTGGCTCGTGGGGCCGCCTTGTGGACCGTGCCAGAGACTTGGCGCGCATGGCTGGACCTGCGACCCTTGGGCAGAAGGGGACGCCGGCAGCACATCCCTGGCGTTGGGCCATGGGAAGACACCAAGAAGGCGTCCAACGGAACGCCAGGCAGCCATGGCCACACTGCGGGTGTTTCCAGGGCTCTAAACGGCTCAACATCACCGGATTCTGCTGGCGACTTCTTAAAAGAAAAATTCCTTCTTCAAGAACTTGTTTAATCTTCCAATTTATAAAGGAGAATAGGCACACCTATTCTCTAAGGCTGGATTATTTTCATGGGAGGTTGAGACATACTCAGGTTTGGGATATTTGTACCCAAAACAGGAAAGCCAAGAAATAGTTTCCTGGCAGCAGTTGAGTGAGGAGGCGAGGGCTTAGCTGAGCAGCTAGCTGCTCCCTGTGGAAAGGTATGGAGTAGAGGGTGGGGGACACCCAGGAAAGACCCCCCCCCCCCAATGACCCATCCCAGCATACACCCAGAGTGGGGCCTGGATCTGGGGCCACGACTGCAGACAGAGCATAGGATAGCCCCAGGAGCTGGGCTGCCAATTAGCTCCATGATGGATGGCTGCAGGGTCAATACCTCCACCTCCTTTTTTTAAAAAAAATATTTTTATTGATTTTGGAGAGAGAGAAACATCAATGATGAGAGAGAATCATTGATTGGCTGCTTCTTGCATCCAATCTCCATCCTACTGGGGATCAAGCCTGCAACCCAAGCATGTGCCCTTGACCAGAATTGAACCTGGGACCCTTCAGTTCGCAGGCCAACGCTCTATCCACTGAACCAAACCACCTCCACCTCCTTTATTACAGATTAGAAACTGAGGCGAAAGACCCCTTGAGAAGCCAGCAATGGGCTCTGGACTGCTGACCAGTGCTTTCCTTTACCCCATCCCTTACACACACACACATACACACACACACACACACACACACACACACACAGCTCTCCCTCCAACCCTTCCTCCCCCCTTCAGCTTCTGAGCCTGTGGCCACCATGTAGGTAGAACTCAGCCCTTTGGTCCTTTTATAGTGATCCTTAGGTTGGCTTAAGCACTTACTCTCTCTGGACCTTTCCAACACAGAGGTTCCTATCAGCATTTAAACCAAAGCCAGGAGCCTCAATCTGCCACTCATCTTCAGGCAGGCGGGGGCAGCTGGACGGGATGGGTGAGCCAGGAAAGTTGCCGCTGCGGCCCCAGCTGACCCCTTAGTGAACCAGAAGGAAGCTGGTGCCCTCCTGACCTTATGCTTAAGGTGGATCCCTGGGCCAGGAGGAAAGGGGGAAGCAGCAGGCGTGAGCAGGGCCAGTAGCTCAAGAGCGCAGTGGGCCTTTCCGAGTCAGGCTGACACCACCATAACCCCATTCAGGGCAATTCATCACCCACTGCTGACCACAGGGCCGGCGCCAGGCCGTGGGCTCCGCAGGCGCCAGAGCCAGCAAATGTAGAGGGACTGAGGCCTGCCCTCAGGGCGCTCAGAGGCTGCAGAGACAACAGCGGGGCCTGAGAAGCCCCACCAGGGTGAGGTGGCAGGAGGACCAGGTTTGGGGGTTGATTCTGATTTGGGGAGAGAAGAGAAATATGGGGCAGGGGGTTCTCAGGAGCCCTGAGAGTGTAGCTGGTGCCCAGAGCTGGTTTACCTGCTCTGGATTCTGTACTAACTACAAGCCCCTGTAGGGGGCAGCTCCAATCTTACTCTAATTTTCCATTAACCCGTTAATTTCAGTAATTTCACGGGATACCTGAGCTCCGTTGTTAGTAGCTCGATTCCCCCAAGAAAGGAGCAGACATGGCTCTTGCCCTTCTGGACGGGTATGCTCACGAAGGAAGTGGACAGTAAATAAATTAGCAAACAAAAGAGCAAGAATATGTCCCATGGTGATAGGTGCTGGTGAGAAAATCAGGCCTGTCATGCTGAGTGCCTGGGGGGCTACACTCATCAGGGTGGGCCAGGAGGGCTTCTCTCAGGAGAGGCCATTGGACTTTGCAAGGAACCAGCCAGTGGTGACCTGGAAAAGGGCACCCCAGGCAGAGGGGACAGCAGGTGTAGAACCCTGAGACAGGACAGAATGTTCAAAGATGGGAAGAAGGGGTTGAAGGGAGAAGAGGAAGGAGGGGTGCTTCTGCTGCCCTACCTCACCTGACTCCCTTCCCCCAGCAAAAACTACTCCCGGCACCCACCCCAACCCTGAGCCACAGGGAGACTTTTATAAACAATTTGGAAACATTTTGTTTTCCAGCGAACCACCTCCCCCTTCCCCCCTCCCCGCCCACTGCCACCCAAGAAACCTTGGCAAGGTTCCTAGATCAAAGTTCCTATTGGGCTGGTAATTTATTGAACCCTTCCCCCCTTCAAGATGTTGTTTAATGATCTTCACTCTCCCATTGAATCCTTTCTGCCGGATGGCCGCCCCGCATGACGCCCCCACGGTTCTCGATGGGCAGATAGATTAACACACTCCCCTACCCCTCTGGCAATTTCCAGCCCGAAGGCTCCGCTCATCTTGTGACCCGGCGCTCGCTGAACTTGGCGAGGCGGCCCAGCAGAGTTCACTCGGATGTCACGGTCCGGCCTGCAGGGGTCACAGGCGGGTCAGGCCTGAGGATTGGGACTGGGCCCCTGGTCACGCCCCCGCTCGCCAGCGTCGCTCACCGGCCACAGGCACTGTTCAGAACGGGGCGGCCCCGAGATATCAGCGTTACCTCCAGAAATCTCGGCTCCTGCCAGAGTCCAGAAGTTGGCTGGCTCGCTAGGGACAGTCGCCAGGTCGTTAGAAGAAATGACAGTGGGAGAGACCCTTTTCTAGAGCTTCTGAAATGGCCAAGTAGGGCGATGGGGAAACGCTGTCTCTTCCAAACACGCGGCGACCCGGGCCTGGAGCAGTGCGGGGTCTGCGCGGTCCCTGAGTCCGCAGATGGTTTCCGATCCCGCTGGCTCTGGGGACCGCCGCGGGAGGGGCACGTACTTCCCAGCTCTCAAGAATAAAGTTTCTCCTCTCCCTGGGACGCTTTCCAACGCGTGAGGTGGGCTCGTGCGAGAGCCGGTGTTCAGTTTTAAACAAACGTACGATATTCTGTTTTGTTTTCGGCCCCGCTCGGCGCGTTCCGCTCCCAAACCAATGGAGGGTGTGCCCCGGCCTAGTGGGGAGCTGTGCGGCTTGGCCGGGTGGGAAGTGGGGCTCGCACGTGCGCTTCCCGCAGGGTCCGAGCTCCAGGCATCGGCAGCACTGGGTACCGAGGTATTTGGGCAAAGGCCGGCAGACTCGCTCCCCAGTTGGGATTCCAACACTCCCATTGGCGGCCGGCAGAGCACCCATCTCACCCGATGGGTGGCTTTACGCAGGGTAGGAGCCCGCAGAGCCAAGGACGGCTCCAGGGACGGTAGCCGAGGTCACTCCGGCGTCCTGTGTAGCCTAGCGTGCCTGGAGCTGGAAACAGTATTTGGAACTCAAAGCCCCTTTTGGAAACTCACAAACTACCCCGAGGTGTGGAACGGTCGGGAGTGAGCGCCTCCAAATGAAGGAGGAGGAGCAGGCGCGGGGATGTGTGGTGACTTGCCCAAAGCGATGCAACGAGAGATGGAGCCAGGCCTCGGATCCAGACCCCTGGGCTTTCCTTTCACCATCTCTGCCTCGTTATCCTGCTGGGGCCAAAGCCCCCATTCCCCTCTGCCCAGCCGGGGCTGCACGCCTCGGGTCATCGCGACCCGGCCGGCTGTGGCCAGATCGCAGAGCGCCGGTCGCCGGGCCGTGGAGGAATAGCCCTGCGCTCTCCCAGGGTGGGGCTGACTGGTGCAGGTTTGCACCCGAGGGACCTGGAGGCTGTCTTGTACCCTTGAATGGGACCTCCGTGACTTCCCTTGAGGGGGTTGGGTAACCGGGATCCAGGATCTTGCGGTCGTGCCTGATTCCACGCGGCTCTCCCGGGAGTCCTGGCCGGATCTTCCGAAGAGTCGGGAAGCCTCTGTTTTGCTCGGCTTAGGGACCTCAGTTTCCCCATCCGTGGGATGAAGCAGTTTGACGATCCCTGCACGCACTTCCCTAGCAGGTGGGAGGGAGCCCACGCGGCGCCCGTAATTGGAAAATCGGGGAAGGCAGCTCTGTTCTGGGACCGCCCGACGGACCCGACAGGGGGGATGCCAGAGGGAATGCCAGGAAGCCCAGGGCTGGAGTTCACGCGCCCCGAACTCGGGTCGGCCCCTGTCGCCACCTCGGAGCTCCACACACCTTGGATGGGGGAGGCGGGCTGCTCCGAAGTCCGCGCCCCGGGAGGCCCGCGCCGGGGGTAGCAGCCACCGCGCCGCCTCTGCCTCGGCGCGGAACAAACGGTTAAAGATTTTGGGCAGCGCCTCGCGGGGGGAGGAGCCAGGGACCCAATCCGCAATTAAAGATGAACTTTGGGTGAACTAATTTGTCTGACCAAGGTAACGTGGGCAGCAACCTGGGCCGCCTATAAAGCGGGCGCGTGGTTGGGCTCGGAGTGTTGGCGGCGGCGGCAGGTGGCGCGGGCGGTCGCGGCGCGCTATGGGGCTCCCGGCGCTGCTGGCCAGTGCTCTCTGCACCTTCGTGCTGCCGCTGCTGCTCTTCCTGGCGGCGATCAAGCTCTGGGACCTGTACTG